CCCTAGGTTCCGACTATTAGGAAATCTAAAACCTTTAAATAGTTGCGTCGACGGCCCATAACACATTGCTCAAGCATGTAGATATATCTTTCTTGTAACCAAATTCATAACCAGTCTATAATACATTTAGGCAAACATTTTCCGCAAGGTAACATGTGCATCTTTTATGTAAATGAAAGTTTTATGTGAAGAGCATATGTACCAGTTTTCTGAATCTTAGATCGGCTTGCGTTTTGTTTTGCGTCAACCTTGTTGGCGTTGCGTTTCATTCTATACCGCTACGTTATTGATTTTCTTAAATTTACGGCACAAAATCGTAATGATATTAATTTTACTATTTAAAGATAAAAATGTAATTTTAACATTCTCATGCTTAAATGTTGCATAATGTTTAAGGTATTGCTGAGGGGTGTGGACGGTAGCTTGTACGTCCATTTACAGGCTAAAACAAACCAACTAGTCCTGCAACATTTTCAATTTAACCATTATTAGTGTCTAAAACGGATACCCTTTTGTAATCTAAAAAGAAAAATGGCATAGCCAGATTGTTTAGATAACTAACCGGAAAGATTCTCTTCCTACATTTATTATTTAACAGAACTAGTTTTGATTTATATTTAATAGAGAGAAATAAGAATCCCTTATGAAAGCCACGGCAACACGGCAAAATTGAAAATGTTGCAGGCTCGGTTTGATTGAGCCTGTTGATAGACAGTACTGTCAAGTGCAAACTACCGTCCACGCCCCCTAGCACAGGCTTAAGCAGAATCTAACATTTAACAGTAACTGGTAAAATTTAGAATTTTGAAACATCCGCAGATGTGTTCATATGGCGGTTATCATGGAACCTTCGTCGGGTTATGTCTTGTTTTGTTTGGTGTGCCAATCCAATTTGCAGCAATGAAATATTCGAAACATTAAATATAGGAATTAAGTAAAGGTAAAGTGTACATGTACATAAGAAAGCACCAGTCAAGAGCTGCGCAGTCGCTAGACCAACTTAATTTTGTAAACACTCACAAATTAGTAATAACCAAATTAGTGTTTGAAGTTATTTTTTATGCCTGTCTCCGCCAAAAACCTCTTATGATGCCATTTATGTAAACGGAGTCTGGCGCACAAAAAACCCAAAGAATCTCTAGATGTGTAAAATTCAAGTTGTCAGGCCTTGAAATATTGTGTGTTTTCTTGGTAATTGGTCCTACCTTGAGAAACACTGCTGACCTCGGTTTTTTGGTGACGTTCATTTTTTTACAAGCAAGCATTTCCTGTTCGTACAAACAGGAGATAAAAATATATGATATAATACGATAAAATATTCTTTTTTTTTTCATATCTATTACTCGAACTTATCAGACTTAATGATAATATTGACATACATTCGCCTATCATTGATCAGGCTATTGGTTGTCCTTCCATAAAAAATATTAAAGATATAACTGATTTCGGATTTAATATTTGATTGACAATACTGATACTTGCTGTACAGTCTCTTTTTAAAAGTAAGATAAACGTTCACTAGGTAAATGTTACGTTTTAACTGTATCCGTTGGAGCTGCGATGCAGGTCATACATAAAGGAACAGGACAATATGTGAACAGAGCCTCTTCACCATCCACTCCCTCATACACTTTTACTCCAGTAAAACAATTCTAACTTTTGATAATAAAGATCATAAAATTAATATTTCAATACACAGATAGTACTATCCGAATGTGAAACGAGCAACATGTAACATAAGAGATGTTGTCTTGTCTTCTTATATCCATTCATTCACTAAAGCAAAACCTATATTACCGCATACTTTGTCGTGTCATTTATTTGTGGTACACATGATTCAACTGGAAGTTATAACAAATACGAGAGTAAAGTTAAAGTACATAAAATAGACAAAAACATAATAGACAAATAAATACGATCTAACACAGACTGTGAGGATTTGAAATATAAATAATGCAAAAATGCAAATATTTTAAATACTTTAGATTCACAACATTGGATTCAACTTCAAAAAGTTTTGTTTTTTAACACGTCAGTAACAACAGGTTACCGAATTAATTTTTTCAAATAACGAGCCTTAGTTTTGCACAAAAAGAAAAACACAATACATGATTCAAACTCAACTTATCTCTATAAAAGAAATGATTATATATAACTGTAGTTCAACCAAGTTTTTTGTAAAGGTTTTTGTTGTACAGTTCTTTGAGATCTTTATAAATTAATGTAATGTATTTTTAAATTACAAATCTAAGCTGTCAATACTAAATGAAAAAAAATATATCAGCTTTGAGTGTTTATTGTTTTTGATTGACTGTAACATAATAAATATTTACTGGAGAATTTATTTTATAGCATTCTAACTATTTTCATTCTGAATTGATAATATCAAAATACACGTACAATTATTATTTTGATAGCATAGTGTACTTATTGAAAAACAATTCTTGAAATCTTCTTAAAGAGTTGACAGAACAACAGACAGTTAATCATGTATATACATGTATACATCATGTACATTACCCACATTTTTAATTCAAAAAATGAAACAAAAAATGAATATAAGTTGATACATGTACTTACATTCTTATTTCAATCTTCAAATAACTAAAAAAAGGGTTTGAAAACAATTCACTTGGAAATACACAATTCACATTAACCTTTACAAAGAAAATGGAAAGAAAGCATAAAAGAAAGAAAAAAAAACTTTTATATAAAATGGGGATGAAAAAAGAAAAACAAACTCACATGAACGGTTTTTGGTGCCAAATACTAGTTTTTGTTAAGCGTTAACCTTACTATATAAATAAACTGACAAACAAATCTTTGTTGGAGGAAGTTTAAGATATTCGTGGAGGCAGAGCTTAAGTAATAATTATGATTGAACTGTATACATGAAGTATATCCCTACAGATTTATAATCAATTGATTTAATTCTAAACAGATTTTTTAAAACTTCACAGTTATAATGGTTTGTACTTAGTTAAAAAAATTTCCTCATGATATTTTGTTTTTATTTTGCTTGAATGAATGTTTGGACATGTATTAATAAATTTTATATCTAGCACGAACTTGTTTTTAAATGCTCCTACATCAGGCCTTTGTTTTAATCCACAGTAATATTTGGCATTTAATATTAAAATTGTATTCATTACTTCATCAAGATGTGTATTACCAAACAATATATCTAACTGGCTCCAGGTTTGAATGTTAAGGTTGCATCTATTATTGATGATAACATGTGGTTGTTCCAAAAAATATTGTGTTACATCACATCATAGACAATATGAATCGATGTTTCTTTTAAATTATAATAAAATGTATATAATAAAATGTACAATTATCCTCATTTATCATACATTTACTTTTAAGAACAAAATTGTTTGCAAGAATTCGATGAATTATTCTATACTGAAACCATATAATCTAAAGAGTCATTTGTATACCATACTATATAAAGAGATCTATTCTAACATATCACTGTTTATATTCCTTAAATCATTTTCCACTTATGTAATGATTTTGGTGTTGTTTTCAGCTTGCAATGCTCTATAAATAGAAAGGCATCCTTGTGTATCTCTATTAATTATGAATATAGGATTTGGAATAGGAAGATTATATTTATATTTGTTTGGTAGATCTTCTTGAACCTTTTCGATTTTAAAAAAAAGTTCATTTACTGAAGCTGCTTTACTTCTTTATTCTAAAAATATCTCTTATATTAAATGTTGTGGAAAATGCATCAAATGTATTTAACTCTCCCTCTTGGTTGATAAGATCTCCTAAAGAAAAAATACCAAGATCTCCTATAGAAAGAATATTACATATTATCCATCTTTTAAAACAATTACTGATGTTTGAAATTTTCATGTTTGGATTATACTATAAGTTCACATAAGAGAACTGCTTAGTATAACTTAGTTTTAAATTTATAGAAAGTGTAATGTCCGAATGTATTTATGTCTTAATAAAATCTGAAAAATACATTTGTTTGATGAAAGAAGTTCGTTCATCCTAATCACATGTAGCTTTTAAACTACCCATAAAACATATAAGGTCTATTAGTTTTTATCCTCCAAATGTATATTCTTGAGTAGTATGTTTCTTTTGACTTCATCTCTACCATCATTATTCCTATGAAACTTAAAGAATAAGCTTTGTGAACCTAAAGGCGTATGTATCAATATTTCATTAGACCATGGTGACATTGTCGCTAAATTGCTAAGGTGACTTTGACGTCAGACCTGCAACAGAATATTTCTGATCTTTCAACCATAAAAATATGACTTAGTGAAATAACACGCACAATTATATATTTTTTATACGTTGTGTTTACTTTTATTTTCACGAACATTAACATCATGAAGAAGACAAGCAGGGCTTGTGCCTACGGTTTCTTTTACTTCTGGTTTTTCGTTGTGGTTGTATTGAATGAATCATACAGTATTCATTTCAAGAAAAGTAAATACAGTTCGATGTATTCCGGACGTAGATGCATTCCAAATGAAACAATTTTTGAAATGCATAATGTTTCTGATGTCATACAATGCGACAGATTTTGTCTTACAACCAATGAATGTCGAAGCGTTTTCTATCAACCAAATGAACGTGAATGTGTGGGATGCCGTACCAGACTTGGAAGTTGCGATAATAATTTTATGAAGTCTGCTGATTCACTTGCCTTTGATATGCCGAGTAAGTTCATTTTTAATGCTCATAATGTTTTATCTCTACATTCTTGACAATTGATATGTAATTGTCACGTATTTTTACAATTATAGCAATCAATATTATTATATAATTATTACAAAATATATGACAAACATTGTTTCGATGAAAATAACAGTTTTATGATTGAGGAAATTCCAAAACTTTGAATGACTTTCTTTTATATATTAGGTAACCAATGTTCTCTATCAAGTACTGAATGTATGCCTTAATTTACTGAATATATGGGAGCTTTCAAAACACAGTGTAATAAACTCGCCAATATCGTTTTATACCCTGACCATTTATGTTTGGATATGGATTTGCTTGTATCCACCTGTCGGTCCCGCTATTCCACTGCCTCCCGCTGTCATCACGATGACCGGTTTGTCTTACGTTTAACTGCAAAACCATAGTCATTACAGAACTTGGACGTGTACTCATCAGAATGAAACAGGGTTGTGATGCCTAATAGGACAAACGTAGTATTTGTATGTCTCTTAAGAGAAATATATATATACGGACAAAACAGTGGAAAGTTTGCGCAAGGAACTGTAGTGTTATCAATAACTGAAAATAATACAGTCAAACTAAATACTAGGTGTGATACAGTTGAGTGCGCACCTTTCTTATAACAAGGTCGCAAATATTTATTTGATTTCCAGCAAGGTAAAGGTGGAATTTTTCATAATCAATTGTAATAAAGTATTCTTTCTTTTATAAATAACCTTATCACATGACACATACCTGTGCCGACTCCTTAAAATGGTATTGCAGGGCCATGCATAATTTTATGTGACGTCATTTGCATTATACAAACATAGTCTAGAGTTGAGTCGCGCTAGATGTCAGCGCATCAATGTAAATGGTTCTTTTGCACTTCAAAATAATAGTTGTTATTTTTGGTATTTAAAGTGTTAAAATAATAGTATAATAAATTTGTGTAAGGTCATTACTGAATATATTGATCTTGTTGAATAATATAATATTATGCTATACAGAGGTTGGTATTATAAATTTTTATTCAACTTGTTCAATAAATTCAGTACTAAACTTACACTCGTTCAATATCCTCAATGTATAACAAAAGTAATGTTCATAACCAAGTTTGTGCTGGGATGGTCGTAATCAAGTAAAGTGTTTTAAATAATAAACAGGACTCAAATTGAGCTTTACCCTAGTCAAATATATCAGACATTACATGCTTGTTATAGGTTATGTTGCTCAAGCCTGGGTAAAGAAAAAATTCTCAAACAACATCATACTTTTATATCCTGAATAAGCTTGACCTTAAAATTAATTAATAGCCTTTGTGTCATCTTGGTTCAATAAAATCTTGGCACATCTTTACTCGACCTATTTTTTATGACAGACCTAAACAATACAGATGTACTAATTTTAATTTCTAAATTTAATTTTAATTCTAATATTTCTTACATAGACTGACATATTCTATGTACAGTAAATGAATTAGAAATGAGAGGTCACTTATTTATTAAAGGCTTCAGCTAGCTTACATTAGTGGGTTTTTTTCTAGAAAGAAAGAGAATTAATGTTAATCTGCACATGCTGCATAAGTCATGCATTGCACATGGCGCGAGATTATTGTGGTACGAAAAAAACATGAGTCATTATTTATAATGACAGGCATCAATAAATTACTATGTTTTTACAAAAATATACTCTTAAAATACGGTAGCTACAGAAAATACTTCCATTTCCATCTTCATTTACTTGCTACCCTATACAATACTGATAAAATATGTTAAATATCTACTGAGTTTTAGTAGAAAGATGTCGTTCATTATAAAGTAAATGTCAAGGTCAGTTGATAAAAAATAAAGGGGAGTAATCTTGTGGGGGGAAACATTTCTACTTTCACGGACACCGTAGACAATGAACACCGACATGTAAAATTCTAGAATTATTTTAATAGAATATTATTTAGATAGATCTAGGCACAATTTACTTTTGTCATCGGGCTAATAGCATGACTTCTCCTTGTCTCTGGCTGAATGTCGTGCTTAATAAGCTCATATAGCCATGTTATTCTTTCCTTACTTAGTCGGTACTTCTCCCGAACCTCCTTCTCTGTCAAAATTTCAAGCCAATTACGTCTCTCCCTAAAAATTCTCGCCGTTCTTCTTCGCCGCGTTCTTCCGAACAAAATGTCGGCCATATTTACGTAAATTTTAAGTCAGGTAAATTTGAGCGTAACTTTACGTAAAAACTTACGAAATTTGTACTTACGCATTTTTTTAGTGAAACGCCTTTACGTAAAAAAATCGTACGTAAGTAAAAACTTACGCAAATCTTAGGCGTAAGTACGTTAGTAAAACGCTACCCAGGACGGTATCTTGTGCTTTCCAGTGCCGTCCATGAACAGGCTCAATCGAACCGTGCCTGCAACATTTTACATGTTGCCGTGTTGGGCTTTCTTTAGGAATTCTGTTTTTCTCTGTTTCAAAATAGAAAAAAACGGTACCCCTTAAAACGCCCAAATCGACAAAATTGTAATGTTGAAGGCTGGATTTGATTTAACCCGATAACTGGTAACGCCCCCTGTCACTTTGCTCAGCAGAATTTAAAATCAACATGTTTAAATTTTAAATTTAGAAACACTAGCAGATGTGTTCAGTATGCAGTTGTCTTAGAATCTTTTTCACATGTTAATTTACCCTCTTGGTTTTTTCTTGCAATAACAAACAAGTTATTGTATATATTTCAAGATCATACAATCGAATGTGGCACATCTGTGTCCTATGGATACAATTCTGATAGCTTTTTGAAATCATTCAAACGTAACGTCTATAATATGATATCAGCAAAATTATAATATTAGCATATGTTCGCTATTTGTTTCTTTTTCATCTAATGCAGTTGGAGCAGATAAGAAAGAAGTGAAAACCTATTCTGATTGCAAGGAAATATTATCGACCATGTCCTCACCTACAAGTGGGATTTATAACATTACGCTGTGGAATTCAAAAACAAAACTTAAAGTGTATTGTGACATGGAAACTGACGGTGGCGGTTGGACTGTAAGTGTAGAATAATGAACCTTTTTATGTATTTAGCAGATATTTTTTTAACATCAAATAAAAATTTAAAAAGAGTAAACAATTATTTTATTGTGTAGGCATTAAAATGTATAATAATGTTGTCCACACAGTAGACTCTCTTTGTTTGTTTATGCTTTATAGAAAAGTATCTTTTTAGCCCACCTGTAACAAAGTGACAGGGTGAGCTTTTGTGATCGCTTTTCGTCCGGCGTCCGTCCGTCCGTAAACTTTTACTTTAAATGACATCTCCGCATAAACCAATAAGCCAATTTCATCCAAACTTCACAGAAATGTTCCTTTGGTGATCACCTTTACAAATTGTTCAAAGAATTTAATTCCATGCAGAACTCTGGTTGCCATGGCAACCGAAAGAAAAAAAACCTTAACTATTTTTCTTTTAAAAAACCCTGATAGCTAGAGCTTAGATATTTGGCATGAAGCATCTTCTAGTGAGTGTCTACAAAGTTTGTTCAAATAAAAGCCCTGGGGTCAAAATTGGCTCCGCCCCAGGGGGTCATTTATTTTCCCGATATACATATAGTAAAAAACAAGTTTGTTCAAATAAAAGCCCTGGGGTTTTAAATGGCCCCACTCCGGAGGCCTATATACAAGTGAGCGACCTCAGGGCCATCATGGCCCTCTTGTTAATTTTCTTTGTTTCGGTTCAATGTTTTAATCTGAGAGACACTGGCTTGATACAAATGTTCGGAAGTTTCTTAAAAGTTGACAAAATGATGCAGACAAGCCCTTGCTTCGATAAACAACTTAAATGACTTATTCATATTCTTCTCTGAGCAGAACCATTCACATCATTTTCGGTAATATTGTTGAATATGTACAGATTGAAAAGCTAGCAGTGCATGGGATGATGATTCAGTTTCAACAAGCAGGCAAATTGTGAAATGATTGAATTGGTTGGACGAGAAATTGATGTTAATGGTAACAAAAATACTCATGTTTGGAGTTAATCAAACAAGATTCTAAAGCAGATCAAATATTTTTCAGGTCTTTCAAAACAGATTTGACGGTTCAGTTGATTTTTTTCGGAATTTCTACGATTATGAATTTGGATTTGGTGACATTGATGGCGAATTTTGGTTAGGTATGTTAAATTGTGTAAAATGAAGAATATTTTAAGTATTGAAAAAAATATTGAAAACAATTTTTTGGAATTTTCTTCTAGGAGCGTTATGCGACTAGTTTGACCTGCATAATATTAACTTTTAAAGATAATTAATGTTTTATGACAATCAAAATAGTATTTATTAAGGTGTTGAAGATTTTATCACTTAAAACCCGGCGGTTGCATGAGAGATGATAGTGTTTTCATTATATCTCATGAACAGACTTAATAAAACTTGTATGCACTTTATAACAATTTATTTCTGAGTTCTCTTCTTCCGAGGTATATTGCTTTTTTTCGAATGTTATAACATAGGTCAGCATAGTGATATTTATGAACAGCCACGTGAGGAATAACAAACTGTCAAATTGTGTTTAATGGCAATACCATTCTGTCCATACATCAATGCTATACAAATTAATACAATGTTGAAAATACACTTGAAGAAATATTAATTAATTGAATTCTGCTATAACGGTAAGATATATGAGGGTTTTGTAAGGAAATTGACTGCCATTTTACCAAACAAAACTTAACAGGCTCATGAACAGGCTCAATCAAACCGTGCCTGTAACATTTTCAATCTTGCCGTGAAGGGCTTTCTTTAAGGATTCTGTATTTATCTATTTTTGCACATTTGCAAAGAATAGTACAAACACAATTATTATGCAAATAAATACAATGAAGAAAATACACATGTAGTAATATTAAGGAGTTGAACTTTAATATAATAGTAAGAAATGTGAGGGGTTTTTTTACTTACATATTATCATTACAATTATTACAAATTACAATTATTACAAAAAGAAGTACTACAGGTATGCAAAAGTAGTATAAGATAACACCTCTCTCTCTCTCTCCCCCTCTCTCTCCCTCTCTCTCTCTCTCTCTCTCCCTCTCTCTCTCTCTCTCTCTCTCTCTCTCTCTCTCTCCAATGGAACCTTTTAAATTTTGTTGTTGTAACGGTCAACGGTCTTGTGGTGAGGAAGGAAAAGGTTTTTACTTCCGCCTTCTATGCTTCTCAGTAATTGTTAACTGGTTAGGGCTTTTATCCGTCTAGCTGTTTCTACGAAATGCAAAAACCCTTACCTACCTTTGAGGCTCATAACGTTAGCTGATGCTATTCGGAAAAGCTTACATTTTAGATAATACAGATATAAACAGTACAAGTTAACGGAGATGAATAATACTGTTTATTTCTACAGGTCTTAAATATGTTCAAGAAATGACATCTTTAACACGGGAAGAATGCCTGTCAGAACTTAGAATTTCTCTTACTGGGAGTGAATGGAACACGGCCTACGAAGTCTACAACAACTTCTCCTTAGGGTATCGTCCATCCTTCAGACTTAACCTTACTCCAGGAAAAGAATCAACAGGTAGTTCTTGAAAGTTCCTTTATTTTTGTCATAATGTACGGCTTCTTTGGACGAGAAAATCCCTAAATCAGAGGAAAACAGAATCCCTAGAGAAAGCCTAAGGTGGCAAATTTGAAAATGTTGCAGGCTTCGTTTGATTAGCCTGTTCAGGGACAGTACTGGGAAGTCGGAGCTTCTATCCACGCCCCATAGTAAAGGCTAAAGCAGAATAAAACACTTAAAATGAACAGTTAAAAACATCCGCAGATGCGTGCATATTGCGGTCATCATGAAACTTAAAATTTGACGCGTTAGTGCTATTCCATGAAAAGCGGCATATGGTCCCCAAGTAAAAACGATTCGTGTGCTCTAAGCAAACTCAAATAAAATTGAATTTTGATAGGGGGTCAGAGATCATGTAGCTTGCGTATCACAGTTTACTTTCAAACATATCTAAACCCAAACCTTATTTTCAAAACATTATTAAACGCTATATGTTTATTATTAAATGTCAGTTAGTTTAACTATAATGGATAGAAATTAATTGTTTATTCATTTGCAGTTTTTTACAAAGACTTTTCACTGTATGACCAGAATGAAGTTGCTTTTTCAACATTTGATCGAGATCAGGATCAGTCTAAAATCGGTCATTGTGCTGTCGGCTTTCATGGTGCGTGGTGGTACAGGGATTGTGCTAGACAGAACCTGAACGGAGAGTATGCCGTACCTGGTAAATTACATACCAGTCCCGTAAAAGGGTTCTTCTATCACTCATTCAGTCATTATTCAACTCTTAGAGCATCAAGGATGATGTTTCGAAGAATGTAAAACTTTTATCACTATATGAACAATAGTGAAACGGATTTCATTTGTTAAATTGAAGCAGTCTGTGCACTGAACAATTTAAACGATGAAATGTGTATACCGATATAGTATCCCAATCGATATAACAGTGCGCAACAAAAGAAAAAAAACATTTTATTTACAATTGAAAATTGCATGGATGCGACAGGCGAAAAGTATGTTCTTTGAAGATTTGGACAGCATGTGGCATTAACGTATTAGATGTATCTTATAACTTATTGAGGTAGAAAATGATGTTATTTTCGAGACTTTCTATAATAAAAATTGTTTATGGTACCTTTTGGATGATTTAAAATCCCGTCGTTCATATTGTGTTAAGGTAAGTCGTTGCAAGCAAGCATTCACAAAATAAAATTTGTCAGGAACGGCACACTTACCTATGTTGTATAGAATAAATACATTAAAAAAAATTATTATGTTCCATAGTTACGGCTCTTCTATTTATTTTATTGTTGAATTTCTTTAAATTATGTTTGGTATTTAACTGTGATAAAAATCATTTTTTTTAAGTCAACATGGAATGATATGCCGGACACATTTGAAATCTGTTTCAATCATTTTTTGTTTGTTTCCGTCTTTATTGTATGCTATCACTTTGGTTCTTTTGAAAACCTATCCAGGTTTACTTTGAGACGAAAACTGATAAAACATCAAGAATTGCTTTAAAGATTATGTTGTTCCATCTAACATTGCAGTGGTAATAAGCAAACTGTGAATGTAAATGTTCAGTCTGTACAATATTTAATCCTTTAATTTTAAAGTGGCATTATAGCCATCAAAGGGCATATAGTGAGTGAGCAGGTGAAAATACAAGTGTTCATTTTACCGTATGCTTTTCAATTTTATAATTACGATAAATAATTTAAAGCTGCACGCCTTCCTATTCATGCTAATTTTCAAGAAAATTTTGAAAATGTATTTGAATGTGTAATATTGTGGGGAAAAAACGAAAGTGAGCAATTTACACATTATCAATGGTACTTACATACCACATAAATTACCTAAATTACCAAAACATGATCAAAATATGCATAAAAAGCCTTTACTGCGTTAGTAAAGCAATAGAAATATAGTTGTAAATACTAAAAATCCGTCATTAATCGCACATTATATGTAAAATATTACTTGAGTCTTGAAATTTTCATTTTTCCTGACATCTTAGCACATTTTTCTCAAGTTTGATTTTTTTCTTTTTGAAATATTTTGACTCATATGGAGGCATGTAGATTTAAATGTTCAAAGGAAAGGTATGTAAATTATTAATCTGGTTTTATCTATTTGTTCATTTTATAGAGTGACCTATTTATATTTTCAAAATATTTATATTTTATCCTAAACATATTCCAATATCAACTGTTGATCAAACATCATTTTTAACAAAGAATCTTTTAAAATATATAGTCAATACAGCTGAACTTGACAATGGAAAAGTGAGCATAATGTCACTAAAAATTTTACAGAGAACAATGTGATATGACTGTTAAAGTGAACATAAATCATGCAAGCAAATGTGTATTTTATTATAAATAAAAATAAAACAAATTAGAAATTGATTTTGTCCTTCCTTGCTAACATATTATGTGCACAAACATCGTTGAATATTTTAATTTTTTACATTTGAAACAAGGCCATCTCTGTTCACTTTTGAGACAACTCTATTTTGTCAGGTCACTTGTCCTGGACAACTCTTTTTAAATTTTAAAAAAAGTTATAGAGCCCTGAAGATGATGTATCATTTCTGCAGATAAGATAAATATAAACCAAGCCATGTTACCTTAACGTCGAACCCCCCTAAACATTTAAATTGATACAATCGCATAGTTATTCACACTGACAAACTGTGTTAGTTACATTTACATAAGATATATTGAATCAGCTTTTAGTTTGGGTACCTAACTTAAAACATAGTGTTCTGTACAGAATCCAAAGAAAACGATTCGAATGTTTTTTTCAAAGTAGAAAATACAATATAGCTTGTTTAATGAGAAAATATGTGTAACTACATTGTTATGTGTTCCAATTAATTTCGAAATGCAATTACACTTATTTTCTGAAGTGGAAAATATGATGCAAAATTTAAGGACGATTATTATATATAATATACTTTACACAGTGTACAGAGTAATAGTACTGATATGGGTCGAAATATTTAATAATGGCTGTCAATATCACTACCATTTATAACACCAAAAACAAAAAAGATGGTAATTTATGCGATATAAGATGTACCTGAGGTATTTATGAATTTAATTTAATTTGAATTTACTTTTTTAAAATGTTTATATAGCGCTCAGAATTAAGATGTCCTGAAATGATAGCTCAGAATGATTAATTTCGTTAATGGGGCAAACTTAAAATATCAATATCACAAACTGTGTGAAAATACGACAGATGAATGAGCCAAAATGGTGATCTCACAGATAGTTATGTCAGGAAACCTTGTTCAGTCTGTCTCTGTTCACATTTCAATGTTAAGTTAAAGGAATGAAAATTAAGCAAATATCAGATTCAAGCCATCACTATCACAATGGCATTATTGCTAACTTAGCGAGATGCATCTATGTATAAACATCTGGCAACTAATCCTCTGATCCAACATGTATTACAGCCATAGTTACCACCAACAGATCGGTTTTGAAATGGAATTTGCCACGTATCTTTTCTCTTCTTCACAAATGTTATTTGCACAACTATCTGTTCCATTTATAAAATCAATGAAACATTACAAGCTTAGATCCTAATTGTCTATTTAAAATTTAATGTTTAGGGCAAACGCAGAATGTTCACAGCATAAAGTTATGAGGTTTCTTACAAAGAAAATTTCAAAGAAAGTTTATACATGGTGTGCGAAAGGCAGACTTCTCTCTTTTCTTTTTTCTTTTTTTTTTTTTTTTTTTTTTTGATGTTTCACGTAGAACATTCTATTTTAAAGAATAAGAAAACAGGACACTTGACAAGCTTAATTTTGACGTAGAATCCGTCCGTTTTCTTGGCGTTTGGTGTTTATCATAATTTTCATAAACAAAAAGTTGCTTCAAAGTTGTTCCATCACAACTACTTATTAAGTATTTTCATCATTAACACGGGGGAGGAAGTGTTACACGAAGGATGGAGTTCTTATGATAACTTGTTTGGAGTTCTTATGATAACTGTCACGGAGTTCCTGGAAAAAGATACGGGTTTCTGTGGAAAACTTTTCTATATACTTGGAGAACTCGCGTAAATAATGGTTATTTTTTAACTTTAAATGGGGAGTTTGAGGTGCTAAATTAAACTTTGATAATTAAGCTTGCCCTACATATTGAATTATGTTTCAGAAAAAATCTTTTAGTCCATATTTCGTCGCCGTTTAAAAAAAATCTGGTAGTTTTGAGAAAAATTCCAAATTATTTGCTAATTCGTACATATTGACCTTTTCATTTGTGATCTTCTTCGTTGCTATACATAATTACCTAATTATAGTGGAGAGTTGCAAACATAAAGCCCGGGATAATAAATGTATACCCGATTTTTCAAATGTTACGGAGTTCTTGTGATAACTCAAAATATGTCCTGGAGTTCTTATGATAACTTTTGTTACTGCCAGTGTGTTTCTTGTGCTTAATTACGGCACATTTAAGCGTATTTTATTAGTCAATAAGTGTATAAATCATTATGAAACATAGTACGCTTATCATTTGCACAAAAATTTGGTTATATAACGTTGGTTTTGATCGTGTTTTAGTTCCTTATTAAATTTGTGCGAAATCATATTGACATTATAAAACCCAACAAATGCACTAAATGTTTCTGTGTATACTGTTCGTCAACAAAAGTTTCCGCAAATGCAACATTGAGGCCATGTGGCAAAATTAAAACACGATCATTTAATATATGTGGAGAAGACATGAAACTGCTTTGGTGTACAGTCTATATAGGATAAACAGGTGCTAAGCTATCTTCAGGAACGACCGCCTCCGTGGTCGATGGGTTTGAATCGATGACTTCTAATCCAATTACCTCTCTGACGTGGGTTCGATCCCCGGGAGATGCTTTAATAGTTTAGCACGGAGGAATGTAGTCTAGTACTGGTGTAACTCTCCAGGAACGATGGTTAGGAAACTACCCGCCCATATGACTGAAATACTGTTGGGAAAAGGCGTAAAATGAAACAAACAAACACAAATGTTCAGGAAAACCTAAATCAGCGGTCACCTGTATTCAGCAGTAACATGGCTTAAACCGCCAAGGAAAAATTGTTTAAAACTTGCACTTTTTTCTCAGTTACATGTTTTAAGCAACCGCCTTTCTAAAGCAGACAATAAGTAGTTGGGCTCAAAAGCGGCTAAGTAAAATGTATCATAATATACCATGTATCGTATGTAACTGGAATACCCTTCACACCCATGCACCCGAAATGTATGATCTTTTTATGCATAAAAAATCAACCGATTACTACCGATCTCTTCGACAGATTTGCACGTGCCCTACGGGTTCGAGCGAAAGAAGTTCGACAATACATTTTTGTAAATCAATTACAGCAAAAGTTGTTGCAAAATTTCAACAACTAGGACTCCAACTTTGATAAGAAAAATGTATGCAGTAATTTTCCGAAATATGGAGATTGCTGTACGTCACGTGATGCTACACTGGATTTAATAGAGAAAGGAACAAGGTTGATAAACGGCATGGACCTTACGGTGACTCACATATCTTATTGAAGACTTACTTTCTGTTGTCATATCATTGTCATTGAACTTTATACGTTTCTATGACAAAAACCGATACCTTTTAGAAATTGTTCTAAATGTTCTCTAAAACTGCCAGGAATAATGTATACTAGTATATGACGAAATCAGAATGAGTATTAAATTCAAAGCGTCTTTTTATCCTGTAAGTAAATGCTCTACATCAAGTATGTTTACAGTCATTCAAATAAAATTAAAAAAAACACATACACACACACACAAACAGACCAAAACAAA